ACACACACACACCCCATTCCCATGTCCCTGGAATTACCAAGCAGAGCCCAGATGACCACTTAGCCAAGGTTTTTGCAAGAGATTCCAGAACCCCTGAACCAGACCAGCGCTTCTCAAACCTGAAAATGCTTCAGAGCAACTAGGGACCCGGGTACAAAGCAGATTTTGCCAGTATTACCACCATCTTGGGAAGCAGGGGCAGAATATCTGCTCTTCCACCATACTTTCTGGGCAAGGCTGGAGACACGGTGTCTTTAACACAAGGTCCCCAGTGATGCTGATGCTCTGTCCTCCGGTCACACTTTGAGTAGTAAGAGACCAAAGATCTCCCTTCAAGACCCGAGATTCAGACCCTAATGCAACACCGAGGTAGCCTCTCTCTTTAGTGAATCCTTCGCCAGTTCCTCCACTAGAAGAGTCTCCAGGGCCAGTCCCGCCCGGCAGAAGTCTGCTTCTCCTCCTTTTAGGGCAGTTGCAAGGGTAAACACCACAAGCAAAAGTCCCTTTGCCCAGTGGAAGGACAACTATTCAGGTACTGGACCTTAACACGGGTGCTCGGAACCAGATGCCTCATGGTCGCCATTCTTCTGGGAGGGAGGGAATTCCTGGCATCACTGCCCCTCTTAGAGCCTCTAGAAAGACCACTCTTGATTAGTGTGAGCAGACAGCTGCCAATGCCATTCTTGTTCCAAAAGACCACAGGATAATGAGCAGATCTTCCAGCCAAGCTGCACAAGATGTTGGCTTTAAGCACATACAACCTGGGGCAGTGTCCTCACTGTCAGGACTCACAGATTCACTCTGTTTGTTTTTTTTTTTAAGGACCTCATTTCTGCTAGATTGAAATGGTAGATCTCTGCGAGTGAAAGCCACTGTAAATTCTGCCTAATCTCTTTCAAGGCAGAGAAGACTATTCTCTCTTTCCCCAAACCCTCTTAGCCACACTCTTCTGGAGTCCTCCGAGGGTCCCACTGCCTTTCCCCTCAACCAGAATTTTGGCCCTGAGACCTCACGTCAGTTCACCTGGGTTGACCCTGGCTTCCTCCCACGGCCTGGGAGCACACCCACTCCCTCCCTGGGGTCTCAGCTGCAGGTCTTTCTGTAAATGCAACCAGATGCCCGTCTGCCATGGACCACTCATCCCCCCGTCCCTGCTAAAGGGCATCCTACGCACTTTCACACATCCAGCCCCTCGCGTGGTGCCTGGCACGCATGTATCTGAATAAGCGTTTCGAACGACAGTGTGAAATGAGAGTTCACTTGAGTTCGACACAGATATCTTAGATGTGACACCAAAAACACAATCCATAAAAGATAAAAATTTTGGACAAATTGGACTTCAGCAACTAACACTTGCTCTTCAAAAGACACTTCAATGAAAAGAAAATGAAAAAAAAAAGCTACAGACGGGGAGGCAATGTGACTTTTATGTACAGAATAAGAAACTCAATGCATGCACTGAACAGATCGACATTTTTACTTTATCTAAAGCTACCTTGAAAGAGTTATCTTCCCATTCATAACTGCATCGTGTTAGTCACTCACACATAAAAGACAGAGCTAGATTACAAGTCTACTGAAATGAAACCATCTTCAAAATGTGCCTTAAAATTATTTCTTCCATCATGTTGGCAAAACACTTTTCACTAATTCTGAGGTTCATATTCCCTCTTCCTTTTGCCTCCTGTGAATTTCTAAGTAGGCAGCCTCCTGGGAGGCACATTAAAGGGTTTTAAGTAAGTTAATAAAATAAACCCTTCATTCCTGGAAAACGGCATCACACACTGAATCACTGGGTCTCAGAATGACTCCAACTCTAGGCAGGGCAATATTTTTAGGCAGTGGTCCTCGGGGCTGGAGGAGCAGCCTCCTCTATCAAAGAGCGATCTGCTGTTTCAGGAGCAAAACTCCCATCAGAGATAGGATGTTGGTTTTTGTCCACCAGAGGGTCCTGCCTACTTGGGCTTCAACATCCAACCTTCATTTTGCCAGTCACATCAGAGACCTGGGTTCGTGGGTTCCAAGTTTCTGATGCAGTCCATCCTGATTCTGCATCCCTTACGCAGACTGGTCCCCAACACAGCTGGCTGGAGAGAGCGACACAGCCGAGTCACAACGCCTGTATCCAGTCCTACACTTCCTCTCACTAGCTGTCTGACCTCAGGCAATCAACTTAACCTCTCCGTGCCTCAGTGTCCTCAACTGTAGAATGGGGATGCTGATGATGAGAGGAGCACCTCCCTCAGAAGGATGGCTGTGAGGGGTCCATGAGTTACCACGGAAAGGCCTTAGAAAAGTCCATGGCGTGTTACACAGTACCTGGTATCATTTTTATGCTTTACTCTGGATCTCCTGAGCTACCTGCCCCCAGCTGCTTCACCCGGAGCAGCTCTGCCTTTATCAGCTCTACTCATCGAGATTCCTCTAAAAGATACCTTCTGGAGAAAGTTCCCACTGCTTCAGTTTTATTTTGTTTAGCTGGGACACTGTGGAGTAAGTACAACCCCATCACTTCACAGGTGAGGGGTCAGCGCCCAGCCAGCTGAGGGGCCCCCCGAGCCAGGGCCCCGGCCCCGCGCCCTCCGCGGACCACGTTCTCAGCCTCCCGAGCACCTGAGCCCTCGGTGACATTTACCTGCGGCGATGGGCATGACTTCAGGGAAATTCTGACTCCATCCAGGCTTACTCAGAGGATTTTGATCTGGTTTTGTTCCAGCTCAGTCCCTTGAGGAAATGTGTAGGTTCTGTTCTATTTAAAATGGCTTTGTGAGGTTGCTTGATTTTGTTTTCTCTTTCTCATTAAGGAAGTCCTGGCTCAGCCCACATGGGCACAAAACAATGCTATTTGGGTTCAGTCTGAGGACTGGGAAATTTGAACGATACTCGAGGAGAGCCCCGAACAGGAGGAAGCCACATTACAAAGCCCTGGGGGTCCGAGCGGTCGGGAACCAGGAAGCCCGGCCGTGAGGCTGTCCTGACCACCTTGCTCCCGGCTGCACTCCTGCTCTTCTGTTAGGAGAGGGAACCGTGCACACGGCCAGCTGAGAATCTCCTCTCTCCAGAAACGTACAGAACAGAGAAGCAGCAGCTGCATCGGGCTCCAACCAGCATCTCACTGAAGGCCCAGGTTTCCTGGACAATTATTTTCCTCAAAGCACCACTGAATTGATTTCAACGAAGAAAACATGTTAATGATCCTAGCACAGCCATGTTAGCTCCCTTCCTTCTCTCCTGCCTGCCAAGCCCTCCCCGCCAATCCATATACACACTGTCCCTTCCAGCGCTAAATGTAATTCTGATCCTACAGAATTCCAAATGGGAAAAAAACTCACCCAATGACAACTGCTGAGGGATGTTAGACCTTTCATTTCTAATCAACTGAATTGCCATGTTGCCTCCTCGAGATGTACAGGGCCCTTCGTCAAGATCTTGACCAAAATGAGGTAGAGTACCTTGCAACACAACCTGAGAAGTCAGACATCTTTCTTCTGCCAGCCTCCCAAAGGGGGAGCCTCCCCCAGGATCAGAA